TTTTTTTTAAGTTCCGTTGTTGAATATTATAGGTGTGTAAACTCAGCAAAATATTCTAAAAGAGTACAGAAGCCCATAATAGCATTGGGTCTTCTGTAGTCTTAAGGCTTTTGAGGATAAAGGGTAACAATGTTTTCACCAAAGCACTCTGTAGGGTCCAACGATGTAATGGAGAATACTGGTCAAAAACAGCATTTAGTTTCAGAAAGAGTTCATCTGAATTCTGTCCATTGGAATGGTGCTTTTTCCTTGAAAGCCTTAACTTTACAACAAAATGATAAAAATAATTAGTCTGCAGAGGAATGCTAAACTTTTTTGTTTTCATAGAGTATAAGGAGTGAGAATAGAAATTATTGTATGAATTGAAATAACAGCGTCGGTATGTATGGAGAAAGCCCAGAACTGTTCTCTGCCATCCTGGCATGCTTCTAGGAGAACTGAATGTGAACACAGACCTGACATCAGACTCAACTCCGGTCATAGGCCTTCTCAAGGTTCCTTTTCTCCTTGAATTTCTCCCCAAAGTTCTGAGTAAAAATTAGAAACAGAATCCCAGGAGTAACTGGATGTTTTCACTGTAAAGTGTGTGCACAGGCAACTCACCAGGAGGCTCCTGCTCAGAGTTCGGCGTGGGCACCTCGCAGTCCAAACAGTCCCTGCCTCTGTTCCCGGACAAAGACTTGGTGGGAGTTCCGGGCTCTTCTCCACTCAGCCTCCGTAAACAGGGCCCATTACCTTCTGCAGAACACCATGAATCCCTTAGAGGTCTTCCGTGTGACGCGGGGAAGTCATAGCAGGAAAGCCCGCCCCCAGACAACCGGGAAGACCCAGGCAGCTCAAGTTGTAGGCGGACATCCCTGCCCTAAGACCTTCCTGCCTCTGTTCCCATCAGTCCACCCACCTGGGTCCCTCCCTGCCCTCTCCTTGTCTCTGGCCCCTTCATAGGCTCTACACCTTCCTTCTGTCTGGTACATGAAAGGAGTAGGGGAGGAGAATGGGAGGGAAAAGGAGAGATTTTTCCTTTCCACGGACAGGAAAAGAAAGATTCGTTAGTGACTGGAAGGAGAACACATGGTCACCCTCTTCTTCCTGACATGGTGCTTGGCTCGCAGTCTCCTCTGCTTCATCTCCGTTAGTCACCTGGGGAGCTTCAGGGTCACAGGAGGCTGACGAGATATAAGACAAGACGGACCTTATGGAGGGACCCGGAATCTGCAGCAGAAAGAGTGAAAAAGAAAAAGGGACACTGCCTTTCCTCGGCGCCACTCCTCCAATACGCATGTGCAACAACACGCTCCCAGTAAGGGGCCACACGAACCCCTAAGAGTTTTTCTTTGCGTTTCCCCTACCCCACCAAGGTAAATGCCAAGCACTCTTCTTGAGAATGGGCTAGACTGCGAGAGCACCCTCAGATCGCACCAGCAGCACCCCATGCCGTGCAGGACCGCTGCCGCCCTGAGGCCCCAGCTGGAGTGCTCCCCTTCACAATGGAGTACTATTGGGCCTGGAAGAGGGACAAGTTTGAGTCTTGAATAAGAAACTGGATGAGTCTTGAGAACATAATACTAAATGCAACACACAGACCCAGAAGGTTAGCTCTTGCAAGGTTCTCTAATATGGGCGACCCAAAATATGAATAATTTAAAGGAACAAAATAAAAGAGCAACGGTAGGAAACACAGAAGTAGACTCTGGAGATGAGAAGAGGAATCAGGAAGGTGGGGGAGGAAAGGGGATGCAGGAGGGCTGGGGCCCAAACGCTATCAAAATGGAATATGTAGAGACACCCATTTCCCAAGATGAATATGATTATCATGGATCACAAACATATACTAATAAAAATTGAAAAGAGAAGGCAGCGTTTCCTTACCCAGCCCATGCCTTGAAAAGGAGCTTGAGGCCTCTTTGGGCTCCTCTGCCTCAGACATCTCCACACAGTCATTGCTGTTCTCTGCAGGAAAGAAATGAAATCCCTCTGCCCACAGCCAAAAGCAGCGTAGCCCTAGAGGGAACCTGTGGGGGACTGTCATGAGGGTGTAGGGAGCTCCAGTGTCTCCAGGGCGGAACCGCACCTCTCCAGACTCAGGGCCTGCCCCCTGGGCTCACCTCACATGTAGGCAACACACCCGTCACCATCCCAAGGCACAGCCCCCTCCAGTGCTCTTCCTTCTACCCACCTGGTTCTCTCTCCTCCCTTTCCCCTCTCCTCTGCCCTGTGCCGCAGGTCTGCCCTGGTTCCTAACTTCCAACATCTCCACATGCTTTTCTTTGTTCTATGTGTTTCTGTCCCTCCCCCTTTTTCTTTCTTTGTGGCTGGTTCTATCCTGGGTGTGAGGCTGGTGCAGCATGTGGTGCCAGGGATTGAACCACTGTCCCTGGATGCTGGCCTAAGCTTGCCTAAGCAGGTGCTTTAGACTGCTTAGCAATCCACCGGTCCCTCTGTCCCCTTCTCGTGCTCCTGTCTTTTTCTCATGTGTCCTGCTGTTTACCATCTTTCCTCATCTTATTTGTTTCCCCTTCCCATCACAGCCTCAGCCCTTTTTCTGGGAAAGTCCTCACTTGGATAGGAGAGTGCATCTAGGTCAGAGAGGGGACAAGGAGCAGAGGGAGCACAGGTAACAGTACCCGCTGTGGGGATGGTGAGACTAATGGCTTCTTTAGAAAAGAAAGATCCAAGTGTCACAAACTTGGGGGCCATTGATGCTGTTGGTAGACATGAGGCAGAGGACGTAGCGTGCAGCCCTGGGGTGGGTAGAAGTCACAGAGATCTCCAGGAAGGGAAATCACTGGATAATCAGGCAACAAAGATCACCATGCATAAATGGAGAGTGACAGGGTCTGATATTCATCTTGCAAAGAGCAATTGTGCAAAAGTGAAGAAAATGAGAAGGAAGAGTGTAGGAGAATTCGGGGTGTTTATCCTTTATGAGAGAGGGAAACCTGGAAAGACAGGGGTTCCCAGTGTCAGAAAAAATATTGATTTCTACTGGGAGTGCTCAGTTTCTGAACACTGGGATGAAGAAGTTTCTAGAATAAGCACCGTCAGGTACGTGGAAGAATGTGCTCGCAAGATAGCTCAGCCTGGCAGACACGCACTTGAGAACCGTTCCACTATCTGAGAGCAGGTGGAAATGCCAGGAGGAGGGTTAGAACTTTGAATGTATCTCAGCCACTCTGCTTGGGAAGATCTCAGTGGGAAACTCCCTCAAAGAGAGACCCCTTTCTGGACGTTGCCCTGTCTGCTGACTCTTACTTATGCGTGAATGTTTCCCTTAGACACAGTTTTCACTCTCGAAACTGTTTATTTGACTCACCTCTTCCTGTGCATAGCTTCCCCTGTGCTTGCTTCCCATGTCATTAATAGTAGTCATTTGTCTCTCTGTACCTTTCTCTAACTTTTCCTCTATGTCTTATTTCTCTTTGAAGTTAACCCCTTCCTACTTTGTCTCTTAATCTCTATTTTTCTGTCTCTGTTTCTCTGGTTTTATCTTAACCCGTCTGGATACCTGCCTAAGGCCAGTGTTCTCTATATTTTCCTCTATCTTCTCTACATTTTCCTCAACCTTAAGCCCTGAGGTTGACAAAAATTCTCCCATTTTCACAGGAATCACTGCACCAGTTACTTCTTTGGTCAGCTCTTGCCTAAGTTTCCCACATGACTTCCTTAAGTTCTTGCTAAGAGCTTCCAATGTGACTTCTCTAACTGGCAAGATTTTAGTCACTCACAAAACTTAGGTCTAGGAGCTTAGCACTTCCACCAGTAGCTGACAGAATCTCCCCACTCAACCGCCATAACCTGCTGACACTTGTGCATGATGCCTTCCTCACTGGCACCACGGCCCAACTTTGGCATATTCTCTTTCCATGTTCTCTACACAGGATTCCCCCCTCAGCCATTTGCCTCACCGTTATCCTATGCCTCTCTAGCAGTTTTGAAAAACAAAGCAGAAAATGAACATAATTCCCTCTGTATGTGTACAAATATAAAGAAGAGAAGATCAGGACAGAAGGAGGGGGAGATTGTTTTCCTTACCTAAAGGACACTGGAAATCAGTCTTGCTGTTGCCTTCTCCTTCATCTGGTGGGAGATTGAGGGTCCTTTTGCCTCTGTGAGTTATCTGGGGAGTTTGTGGATCATAAATCCCTGCAGAAACAAGGAAAGGATCAACAGTGAGCTGGACACAGAGCTCCCAGAGTGTTGTACTGCCATGGTGGGAAACCCTTGGGCCTGTTCCACACAGTGATATGGAAAGAGAAAAGGTCACAGAAATAAGAGCCAAGAAGAGCTAGCAGGGAGGAGGCCAGGACAATTGAAGAGAAGCTCACTGAGAAGCAGGTCTGTGGAGGCAGAGGTACATAGAGAGTAAGACAGAAAAATGGCACAGTGAGACCGTGTGGCTTGCACCTTGTAAAGATTTGGTCTGTTTTCCATTCTCCCTTGCTTTGTTTGTATTCTATACACAAGAAATCCCCGTCAGTCTGTAGCCTGCTATGCCGCTTGTTTCTCCTGAGTAAAAGCTGGGCAGTCTGTCTGCAGCAAGAACGCTGGATGGTGAGGGATGGGTGGACAGAGGGATGGTGGGTGGAGAGATGAATAGACGGATGACTTGGTGAGTAGATGGGTAGATGAATGCATAGATGGGTGGATGGACATCAAAGCACGTGAAAGAATATGTGTCTCTCTGTGTTGAAAGAAATATGAATAGGTGAAGTGGGTGGCCTGCAGTGGTGTGCTTGCCTGGAATCTCAGCACTCAGAAAGACTGGGGCAGGAAGACTGAGTTTAGGCCAAGATGGGCAGCTTGGAGACTTAGTGAGACACTGTATCAGAATAAAATGTAGAGAAGGATCTGGAATGCGGGGTAGTGCAAAGGTCCTGGGTTCAATGCCTAGGGCAAAACCAGAGAAGATAATGGGTAATCTGACTCAGCTTCATGGGTCTCTGACTCAGCTTCTCCTTCCTGACTTCCACCCTGCCTCTGCATTTCCATCTTTCTCTTCTTCCATGAGGTTCCTACTCTTTTCCCTGTCTTCTCTGTATCTTTTTAAGCTCCCTTCCACGTGGCTCTCCTAGACATCGTGTGTCATTATTCCTACACAGGTAAGTTTGAAGTGAGCTCTTCCTTCCAAACACCAACCTGGTGGTCCAGTCATGGAACACTGAGTGGCATTTCAGGCAGGGATAAACCACATGTATGACTGTGAGGCTACAGGATTTGCAGCCTAGACACATGATTGTCTTCGCAAGTACACACTGTGACACCCACACCATGGCGAAATCGTCTCACAGCACATTTCCCACAGTGTTTCCCCATCACTAAGAGACAAGCCTGTGTTGAGATCCCAAATTCACTTAGATAAAATTAGACTCACTTAGGAATCTCATTTTGTCCCCTAATCCACATTTTTATTCCTCTCTGCCCATCCCCCAGAGCCCCTCCATTAAGAGACTTCACCTCCCTCTCCCTGTCCCTGAAACCACAGGGTGAACAAAAGTGTGTGTTTGTGTTGGGGGTGGTGCAGAGGGAAGGAAGGAAGTGCTCCTGGCCTGCAGCTGGACCAACAATTTCAATGAGGTAAACTGGTAGTTTAAAGCATAATTACCTTGCCCACCGCCCGGTGGTACTCTGGGTATCTCTCCAGCATCTGCTCCATTTGTCTGCAGGAGAGCCACATGTTCATGGGAAACTGCAGGGAAACACAGGTGTCTGACCAGCCAGCCTCAGGGATGAGGGTGACCTCAGCTTCCCACTGAACTCTGGTGTTCAGTGCACTGGTGAGCATGCACTCAAGGGACCTCATCAAGACCCCACCCGCAAAGCCAGGCTCTGCTGCTTCTAGTCTGCTCAACCTCATTTCCTTTCTAATTGTTCAGTCATCTTGTGTTGCTTCTACGCCAAGAATTTTCATCTCTCAGTTCTTCTTCATGTCTGTGATGCTCCTTACAATGTGTAGTATGCATGTCTTAGGGATTTTCCTTCAGATTCTATTTTTTTGAGTCTGTACATCCCACACGGCAGGATCCAATCTTACCCTACACACCTGTAATCCTAGCACTTGGGAGACTGAGGCAGGAGGATCACTGTGACCCCAAGGCCAGCCCAGGGCCACATAGTGAGTTGAAGGCCAGCCTGAACTACATAGCAAGACTCAATCTCCAACAAAACCAAGAAGAAAAAATGAGAGAGGGAGTGAAGGAGGGAAGCTAAGAGAGCAGGAGCATGAGGGAGGTGTACAACAGCTTCTAAGAGCAGAGAAAGGAGGAAAGGAAAGAGGGAGGGAGTGGGGGGAGGAGAGAAAGCAAAAGGAGAGGACCTTTGGTTTAACCCAGTCAGGGAAGATGATCTAGTGAAAAAGAAAGACAGCAGTGGGCCAGGGAGATGGCTCAGGTTAATAAGTGCTTCCCTGGCAAGTACAAGAGCCTGAGTTCAATCCCTGGTTCTGAAAAAAAAAAAAAAGAAGAAGAAGAAGAAGAAAGAAAGAAAGAAAGAAAAAGAAGAAAAGAAAAGAAAAGAAAAGAAAAGAAAAGAAAAGAAAAGAAAAGAAAAGAAAAGAAAAGACAGCCTCAACAAGGGGCTGGAACTCCCCAGGGGGTGTGTGGTGATCTGAGAAAACAGGACAAGCCCACTTTCTGAATGCCACAAACAAAATGACTATTGCCACATCGGAGGCAGCGACCTTGGGAGGTAGCAAGGGGACGTGCAGGAAACCAGTTCTGGACACTGAGTGTCAGAGTTGTACTTCACAGTGGCCTGGCAAACACAGATGAAGAAACAAGACCCAAAAGACAGGAGGAAAAACAAAACCAGATATGAAGAAAGATGTCACCTACAGCTCTGACAAGGGAGCACACCTTTGGGGTCAATAGCCTCTGGGGTTGGGGGACCAGCAAGGGTAAGGCAAAGACGACCTAGGGGACAATTAGGGATGCATTCCCATGCCCAGAACACAGTGACGTCACAGCCGGGTAACACCTGGAGGGGGACACAGGGAAATCTGCGAGGTCCAGAGGGACAGAGAATGGATGGGAAGCCCCTGGGCAGGCTTCGATGAGGCTGAAAAGTGCTGGAGAGTAACAAATGGGATGCAGGGTGTGGGGTTAGTGGGAGGGAGCAGGGTCCCGTGGCTCATGGTTGCCTCCTGACCACCATAAGTGAGCAGCTCTGCTCCCTGCCTGATGTTCTGTCTCACCAAGAGAGACAAAGAGATGTGGGCCCTAAAGGAACAGCATTCCCTGAGTACTGCGACCTGATGCATCCTGGGTACAGACAGGCTATCTCCCCACAACCTGTGTCTACGAGCTTGATTTCCTTTGTTGCTTCTTCTGACTTGAACGTATCATGGTATGGAAAGGAGAGGGCTCTTCTTATAACCAAGGTATAGTTTTCCCAAGTTGAACACATCCTATTTTTCCTACTGATGTCTACTTTTTGCTTGCTAAAATATCCTTGGCTTGTTTCCCCCTAAAAGAAATGTCAAATTCTTTAGTGCTAGGTGTCAGATTCTACAAAATCAGCTTCCAAAGCTCCCGCCCATCCTCTGTGAGTCAGCCTCCCTTTTGCACCTCACAGCTCTCCACTGCTGCCCGTCCCTGGGCTTGGCTTCCTGGGCTCCTCTGGTGACTATCCTGGAGGACAAACCCGCCACTGGTGGGATTACCTGGTGTGTACGTAAGTGCCACAAAGACGTGGCTCGTGCACGTGTGTTTCATCACTGAATTTCTCTTGTCAAATATAAATGAAGAATGAATGAGCAGATCGGACTGCACCCCCCAGAAGTCACTGCGAGCGCTAGTTACCATATGAGAAGCTTCTGGAGATCTTCTTTAAGTCAGGATAGGCCTGCAGGTTGGTTTTGCTGAACAGCACTTTCAGGAGCGACGGGTGGAAAGTTTTCTGCAGTTCGGTAAGGACATCGTACATCACCCTTCTCACCGGGACCAGGTTTGTACAAGCATCTTGAAAATCCTTAAAGACATGGAATGGAGAATTACGTGGCTTTGGCTTTATGGGTGACAAAAGACAGTTAGATTGACACACTGACAATTTGTTCTCTCACAAAATATTAGAATCTGGCATATAATATTAAGTGCCCTCTGCCATTATTTTTGTGAGCCTGGCTCTGTGACATTGATATGCTATTGGGAAGAGATAGTGATTTTAAAGAATAAAATGGAAACGAAACTTTGTAAGTGATGAGAAGAGGGGTTGAAAGGAGGGGAGGGAATGGGGGAAAAAGAGGTACCAAGATACATCTTGTATGAGTACAAATTCCCTATGATGAATGTCTAAATTGTACAAATAAACTTAATTTTAAAAAGAGTAAAAGTGTGCTCAAAGTTGAATGCAGGTGGATCTTGAAGAGCCAGACCAGAATTTTTCAAAAGTGACCCTTCTGCTGACGGGATAAGCACCATCATCCTCTCTCAGACTGGGCTGGCCTGAAGGACTCCAAGAGAGCTAGTGGCCTCTTCCCTCTTCTGCGATCCTTGCCTAAAGACACGTCACAGCTTCAACATCCCAGAAAGGTTTGTTCCCAGCTTCCCCGGGGAACCGTCAGTGCCCTTTACCGGCAGTCTGTGGTTGCATAAAAGTCTAAAGAATAAGAAACCATTTACAGAGAGTAGCAAGCACCTGCCTTCAAATGTCTCCTAGTGTGGCACACCTAGCCTGTGAGTTCCAAATCTCTCAGGGTCAAGCATTTGAAATAAGTTGGTTTCGTAATAAGGCCCTGCCTGGAATGCTTATTGACTTTTTAAAAATTTTTATGTATTTAGTACAGGGTCTACAGGGTCTCACTACACAGATCAGACTTGTAGTGATCCTCCTGTTTTCAGCCTTCCAAGTGCTGGGATTACAGGTACCACACCTAGTTTCTTTTTTTCTTTTGTGTGTGCTACCAGGGATTGAACTCAGGACATTGTACTTGCTAGACAAGTGTGTATTCCACTGAGCTATCTCCCCAGCCCCCTACACCCAGTTTCAATTGCTGTTTTAGTGCATCCCATGGGTGGGGCTGGCACAGCTTGTGGTGCCAGGGATTGAACCCCGATACCTGTGCTCTGCCTAAGCAGGTGCTTTAGTCCACTGAGTTATCTGGCCACCCTTTTGCTTACTGACTTTTAATTGTAGCGAGTGTTTATATATTAAACTGTAGCAGAAAGTGCCCCTTCCCCAGCCAGTCTGTTAGCTGCCCAGGTAACAAGTTCTGTTACTTCTAGAAATAGCTGGTCACTGTGATGCATAGTCGGTCATTATGGTGCATGTTATAAGAACCGATCAATAAACACCAAATACTGTGCTTCTGTACTTCCGGCTTGTTTATCTCATCTAAGCCCCAAACTATCAATGATCAGGGCCTGGCTTTTTGTAAGGATTGATCCCTTGTCAGATATTAAATAAGTCTGCCTCCAAATTCTGGGTGTTGTTTCAGCTTGCCATAGCAGTATAAATGTGTCCAAGGTGCCCTGCACCAGGGAGGATTCCTGCTCCATCATCTCAAGACCTTTCAGCCCATTGGCTGCACCCTGAATGTTGGCAGAACAGAGCACGGAGCTGCCCTAGCCCTGCCAGGAGCTTCTTCTCACTTACCTCATACATTTGCTCAGAGATGAGGGCTCGGTCCCGGAGGCTCATGAGGAAAGGAAATGGCTTTGTTATTGCACTTGCGATTTCTACTTTGTTTGTTCTGAAAAGCTTGAACATGACCTCCTGTGAAACTTCATCCTCTGTGACTGCCCTGTGAAATAAACATATAATGTGGAAGTAGATATTGAGTTTCCAAGAGGTTGGTGGCAGCTAGATGAGTTGAGATACTAGGATAGTCAAGGGAGAGTCAGCAGACATAACATAAGTGATCATGGGAAATTCGCATTTAGGAAGTAATGGAGGGGCTTCTCAGAAAGAAATAAGCAATAGATAGTGAAAGGATTCTCCCTGACCTGAATCTCTAGGAAAATGTTGCACTGAGAAATGTTAAATCTTGGTGTGAATGAGACTGCCCATGGCCTGCGGATGCTGAATAGACCCAGAGCGCAGGCCCAGCACATGAGTGAGAGTACCTGGGCCCTCCGGATCCTGAATAGACCAGGAGTGCAGGCCCGGCGTGTGAGTGAGATGACTCAGGGGCCACCAGATCCCAAATAGACCCAGAGTGCAGGCCCAGAGTATGGGTGAGACTGCCCTGGGCCCACTGGATCCTCATTCAACCCAGAGCGGAGGCCCAGCATGGAACCCTTCAGCAGATCTCCCTGCAAAGAGGCTAGAGGGAAGACCCACCCAGCTGATTCAGGAGCAGAACATCTTGCCAGAGTGACACAAAGGGTTCAACTCCAACAGTGGCAGGAGGAAGAAGTGGAGCACAGCAGCCAGACTCCAGCCAGATCCAAGCCACACCACCTGGAGGAATCTGAACTTCATAGATCCAGACCTGGTGCTAAGGTAATAACTCTATCTAAGCGCTACACCAAAGGTCAGAAGACAGTACTATACAAAATGACAAAGAGATGGAACAAAATGCAGTCTCAGGCCCCGAGTCCACCCAGTACAAATGCAGAGAAAACTGGAAATCACACACTTGAAATCTCTGAAATAATAGCGTTGGAAGTAAAGAAACAACTGCAGAAAGGTTAGAAGAAATTAGATCAGAAATAATTTCTGAACTAAAAAATATAGTGATAACTATAATCAAAGAAGTACTAAGTGCTTCTAGAGAATACACTGATAAAAAATAGAGCAGAATATAAAAATGATGCAACCCCTGAATAAGCAATATAGGAAAGAAATAGATAGTATGAAACAGATTCAAAATGATATACAGGAAATTAAAACATCAATCACAAGCTGGCAAAACCGTTTGAGTGAAAGTGAAAATAGACTTTCTGACCTTAAAGACACCATCGCAGCTAGTGAAAAAGTAAGAAAAGATCTCTTAAAAACAATTAGGACGCAGGAAAAAATAATTCAATACCTGCAAGACGATGCAAAGATGAACAATGTGAGACCAATAGGCATCAATGAGAAGGAAGGAGTCAATACAAATGATATAGAAAGGATATGGGCAGAAGTAATAGCAAAAAACTTCCCAAATATGGGGCAACAATCTGACATTCCTGTAACTGAAGCATATAGAACTCCAAATAACATCAACCCAATTAAAACCACACCTAGACATATAATAATCAGAGCCCAGAAATTCAGCATAGGAACAGTATACTAAAGGCCATTAAAGAAAAGAAACAGGTCACATTTAAAGGAAAACCCATCAGAAATAATGGCAGATTTCTCCATCAAGTCAAGAAGAGCATGGAGCAAAG